ATTTCAGTCCCTTTGGCATGCTTATATGCTTGTATTCCATGACCCTTTTGATGTTTCAAGAGTTTGATGTTTCATGCTTTCATGTTTATGCCATGGTGTATGCCTCTAGGATTAGGTTACTTGGATGCCATCTAAGTGGTTCTTGAGGCTTGTTTTTGCATGACTTGGGACTGTTTTGATTCAATTTGGTCATTTGCTTCATGAGTCATATGATCATGCTTTAGGTCCTGGGGTCTTGTTGCATGCATAGCTTGCATTGGTAGGTTAATTTGGCATCATTTCCTACATGTTTTAAGGCTTATAATGCATGTCATACGTCCATGATTATTCCCTTTTAAATGTGCTTAGAAGTAGCCCTTTGATGCTTAAGCATTTGTGCCTAAGTGTTGGTCCAACCTACTTGCATGTGTGTATGTATGTTTGATTCCAATTCCTTGACTTTTGGCCACTGTTTTGGGCCTATTTAGAGTTGCCTAAATCATGTATAAGTCCATCTTTTCATCCGTTTGCATTGCCTCATGTTTGCTTGTATGCTTGCATAAGTGTCTTGCCATGCCATGTTGCATCCTTAGCTTGCATGCCTAGGTTGCATTGCATCTTGCATGCATGCCTTGTTCCTTGACTTGGTGATAGGAATTGGGCCTTGGTTCGTTTGTTTGGTTTGCATTTCATTTGACATGAAAGTTGCACACTTGATTCTTCGGGCCATCATGCATGGAAATGCGTGATTGGTGGTTCGAGAATCGAGACACATGCCCTTTTGAGTCACAAACATGATGAAGGACATGATTGTTGCATACATTGCTTGAATTGTATTGCCATGCAAGTTCTGTCCTCTGCTGCTGTGAGTTGCAGGTTCTGCAGGCGTTCTGCAGGCATTCTTTGCCGACCGGCAGTATACATTGCCGACCGGCAGTGAATCACCAGCCGATGGATTCATTTTGTGCCGGTGACCACAATTCACTGCCGGTGGTAATTCTACTCAGCGGTGGTGATTCCTAGTATCCAGAGAGGCATCCTTGAGACTTTGGCAGTCTTCAAAGAGGCAGAGCAGGGAAAACAGAGGCAGACTATGCATGGCCGTGCACTTCCGAGCAGACCCGAGCATGCGCTGCATCTGGCTCTCCTCCCGAGGCGGTTTACTGCTTTTCCTAGTTTAAATTAGTTTGTTGACTAATTAGGCAATTTGTAATATTTAATTAGCTTGCGTAGTTAATTAATTTGTATATTTATTTGGTCCCTCCGAGTGAGGGCAATTATGTAATAAGTGTGGGTGCGTGTGTGTGCATTGTCTTCCAACCTCCACTTCTTTCTTCCCTTTTACTTACCTGCTTTGATGGTTAGTAATAGGTCATGTTTAATTTAGCATATCTCATGCTATGCATGCGTGCATCCATACATTTGTCTTGCATGCACGGACTCGGTACATCATGCTAACTGCATTTGTACTTTAATTCCAAATTGAGTACGTGTATCAATTGACTACATTTCACATGCCATGCTTAGGTTAGCCGAGCCTATTCTAAGTACATCTTGTATGTGTTGCATTAGTCAACTTAACATGAACTAGGACCATGCATGTGCATGTTTGCTAACGAGTTTATTGTTTTGGCACGGAGTACGATGTAAGTATTTTCGCTTTAGCATATTGCATGCGTGTGAATGTTGCCATGATAGTATGCTTACCATGTGGCTAAGTGCTTATATGAGATAAACTGTTTGAATGCCTGTGGGTGAAGGTTGGATTGTTTGAGTTGGAAAAACTCGTTGAAATCCGTGTTTTAGCCTACTTGCGAGTAGCAAAGTCCAAAACATTTTTCCAAGAACGAACGGATATGCAATGCTTGTTTCCAAATTAGGCAATCTAGTCTATACTTGTTTGCTGTGCGCATAACATAGTAATTCTAGGCTAATAACCGGAATAAGAACACATAACGTTTTCAAAATCAGATATCATGGTTAGTAGAGGCCGGTCTTCGGACCGGGTGAGAGGGGGTGCTCATAGCTGACCTTCCCCGATCGTACCCAAGCTCCCGAGCCGAGGCAACTTTGGCAACGACGGACACGTGGCCTTCGGCACCGAGTCAGGGTTTCCTAAATTTCCCCATTAAAAAAAATATTTAGGTGGTGACTCTGTATCTGGCAAAGCAGTCCATGTTTGGCACTTCTTTCAAAAATCTGTTTTTCTCAAAACGATTTGCCGGATTTGGACTCTTTGGTTCAAGATTAGGAACCGTGACAATTCGAGAGTCCGAACTGTAGTAACCCCAAAATGAACGGAACGGGACTCACCCTCCCTGGGCATTCGGGGACGTCTACAACTAGGTTCAGATATATGCATAGTTAATTGCTTTAAAAACCTAGAATTCTGTAAGAGTTGAGTTTTAATGACTAGGACCTAACATTCCCTTTGCCAACATGCAGGACTGCTGATCTCTCCACTCATGTATCTGAACCTCGCAAGAAAAACTTGTTTTTGCAAAGTTTATACAAAGAGGAGCAGGAGAAATCATATATAACAAATGGTAACAACAACGAGAAGCATGCTTTTCATAGTGACATTCAAGATGAGGATATAGTTGAAGCTCTAGAAAATGAGGTTCAATATTAGACAAACTTTTCAAAAGTTCACTATCATCCCCAGAGTCTATATGAATATAATGGTTTTCGGATGATTCTCTATTTTGTATAGAATTATTATTTTAGATTGGAATATACTTAGTTTGTATGGAATTTGACATTAAAAGTTATTCTTTTTTGGATAGTTGGAAGTGAAATGGATGTAAATTGCGAAAAGATTGATAATATATATATATATTGTTTTGTCTATATACATGGTATAGGTTGCACGGAATACGCACAGGTTATGGACATATTTTAAAAAAAAAATCATGTTTTTGGTTACTAAATAATTGGTAGCCAAAAAAGAAGTAAATATTTTTAACAACTAAATAGTTAGTAGCTAAAAAAAAAAATAAACTGAAAAAAATACTTTTGGTTACTAAAATTCTAGTAGCAAAATAAAAAAAAAAAAGACTTTAGGCATCTAAATTTTTAATAGCTAAAAAGAATTACACTTTAGGCGACTAAAACATTTAGTAGCTAAAAAAAATAAGATGAACAAAAAAGTTTTTGGCTACTAAATAAATTAGTCATGGAAAATCAATTTAGTTTTTGGCGACTAAATGTTTTAGTCGCTGAAAATGCGATAAAATTGTTTTTTGAAAGCTTTTGGCAACTAAAAGATTGGTCACCAATTTAGCCCATCAACGACTAAAGTTTTTTTTTGTTGCCAACACCTTTACTTTTGGCGACTACTTGTTTAGTCGCCAATTTAGGACTTTCGGCGACTAAAATTTTTTTTAGTCGCCAACCATCTTTCCGTGACCAAGTTGGCGACCAAACTATTTCGTCAGGAAAATCTTTTGGCGACTAAAAATATGACTTTTGGCGATTAAAAATTTAGTCGCCAAAAGTGCAATTTCTTGTAGTGATTCCATTGCAAACCTTACTCAACTTCTTTATTTGGACTTGTCGTACAACAATTTTACTGGTGCAATCCCATCCTTTCAGATGTCCAAGAATATCACATACATAGACCTATCTCATAATGCTCTAACAGGTCATGTTCCCTTCCACTCACTTTAAAGGCCTTTCAAATCTTCTAAATATTAATTTAGCATACAATCCATTCAATGGGAATATTCCTTTGTCTTTGTTTTCACTACGATTGCTACAAAAAAATCAGCTTTGCAATAACTAATAAGGCAATATGGTGGTCCAGTTATTGGATTTTCTAAGGAATCCTTGCCTTCATTGGATACATTGGATTTGAGTAAAACAAATTACAAGGATCAATTCCCTCACCTTTCTTTGAACTTCGAAGTCTAAATGTCCTCATACTTTTTTTCAACAACTTCAATGGCACGATGCAGCTAGAAATGATCCAAAATCTCACAGAACTTGAGCTTTCATACAATAGCTTGTCAATTGATCCAGAGGCTCTAGCGATCATTTCAACTCTTCCATACCTACTAAAATTGGCACAAGCTCACCTTTGCTTATTTCTTCTCTCTTTCAAGTAATAGGCTCACAGGAACTATCCCTGAATCAATATGTAATGCAAGCTTCCTCAATGTTCTTGATTTATCCAATAATAACTTCAGTGGCACAATACCTCTGTGCTTGATTAAAAGAAATACTGAGACTCTTAGGGCTGAATTTCAGAAATAACAATCTTGGTGGTAAGATCTTGGGGACATTTCTGAAAAGTTATGCTTCGGAGACACTAGACATCAGTAGAAATCATTTAGAAGGGCAGGTTCGCAAATCTTTTTCCAATTGCACAATGTTAGAGGTTTTAAATTTTGGTAACAACATAAATGATAGCTTCCTGTGCTTTTTGGGGAACTCATTTAGCTTTCATGTATTAGTTTTGCGATCTAACAATTCCATGAAGGCATTTGCAATTGTCGATCAGACCATAATTTCTGGCCAAAGCTTCAAATCATTGACCTAGCTTCAAATAACTTCAGTGGTAATCTGCCAAGTCAAGCCTTCTTACATTGGAAACAAATGACGGCTACTAATAATGCAAAATCAAATTTCATTGACTTGTGGTTTGAGTTCCTAAAACTTATTGGCTTCTACTATCAAGATACAATGACACTCAACAATAAAGAGATGAAGATGGAGCTAGTGAAAATTTTAACTATTTTTACCTCCATTGATATCTCGAACAACAATTTCCAAGGGGTGATACCAAATACAGTTGGGGATCTCAAATCTCTCTATGTTCTTAAAGAAGAAAGTTGTACAATATTGGCTTACCCTAATTTGGGTGAGACCATATCTATTTTTATTCAATATAAGATACACAGGAAAAAGGAATTAAATAATTACACAATTAAATCCTAAATATCAAATCCCTAAATAACCGTAATTTATAAAAATCACGGGATCTCCTAAATATACAATATTCTATATTCCAACACTCTCCCTCAAGCTGGATCAAAGATGTCAACCAAACCCAGTTTGCCAATGGAAGATAAAAGTAGGGATGGTCCGATAGATTTGGTGAAGATGTCGGTAGTCGAATCAGAAGATGGAACAAATGAGGGACATACAATGTCAGCTCGAACCTTTTCCAGGATGAAATGAATATCAACTTCAATATGCTTAGTACGCTCATGAAGCACAAAGTCAGAGGCAAGTAAGATGGCAGACTTATTGTCACAAAATAGCTTGGAGGAATTATTCTCCTCAAAGCCTAACTCAGTAAGAATGGACCAAAGCCATAATAACTCACATGTCCCATGGGCCATGGCTCGGTACTCAACTTCAGCAGATGATCGGGAAACAATTGCTTGTCTTTTGCTTTTCCATGACAGAAGATGGGTACCAAGGAAAGTGCATACCCCAGAAGTGGAACGTCTATCAATCAATGAACATGCATAGTCTACATTAGTAAAACAGGACAATCCTGTCTGAATCCCACCATTGAAGAATAAACCCAAACCTGGACATGACTTGAGATATCTCAAGATATGGTGAACAACATCAAGGTAAGCAGTACGAGGTGAATGCATAAACTGACTAACCACACTCACAGTAAATGTCAAATCTAGGCGTGTATTAGTCAAATAGATCAAACGTCCTACCAATCTCTGGTAACGAGATGGATCAGAAAGCAACTCACCAGACTCAGGCGAAAGTTTCAAATTTAGATCCATAGGAGTAGATGCAGACTTGCACCTCATCATACTGGTGTCCCGAAGAAGATCTAAAGTATACTTCCATTGGGATAATGATATCCCACTGCAAGAATGAGCCACTTCAATTCCCAAGAAATATTTGAGAGGACCCAAGTCCTTGATGTCAAATACTCGACTAAGCCCCTGTTTTACCTTAGCAATACCAATGGAGTCATCTCCTGTAAGGATGATATCATCCACATAGACCAACAAAATAATACATCGCCCATTGGGTTGACGACGAATGAAGCATGTATGGTCGGAGTGACACTGAATAAAATCCATGGATAGGATAACAAAGATGAAATGGTGGAACCATGCATGAGAAGATTGCTTCAAGCCATAGAGAGACTTATGAAAATGACAGACCTTGCCAACATACTCCCCCTCAGCCCGAAGCCGGGTAAAGGATCCATATAGATCGTCTCAAGTAAGTCCCCATGTAGAACAGCATTCTTGACACCAAGTTGATGAAGGGGCCAAGAAGAAGAGGCAGCCAAGGAAATAAGCAAACGAACAGTGGTCAATTTAGTAACCGGTGCAAACGTTGCCCCAAAATCCTTGCCAGGAACCTGTAAAGCCCTTAGCAACAAGACGAGCCTTATATCGGTCCACTGTACCATCAGCTAAGTATTTGACAGTAAAAACCCACTTGCATCCAACAGTCGTCTCACCATAAGGTAAAGAGACAAGATCCCAAGTGTGATTATGCTCCAAAGCAGCCATTTCAATTTGTAGAGCTACAACCCATTGGGGATTCTGGAGAGCCTCAAACACAGATTGCGGGATAGAGATCAGCTCAAGCTTGCCAAGAAAAGACCGATGAGAAGCTGAAAGGGCATCATAACATAAAAACTGAGAAATAGGGTGATTAGTATTACTAAACCAACCAAACCGATTAGGGGGATTGTGTTCACAGGTTGGATAACGGGAAGGAGCTGCGGAGTGAATAGTAGAGGGAGTACCAGGGCCTGAGGGCGAAGAAGATGTTGGAGGGGGAGAAGCACGAGGGCGATGAGAGTATTTTTGTAATGGTGGAGGATTGGCAAGTGCAGATACAAATGATAATGAAGGAGCAAATGAATCAATGATAGGAACAGGGCAAGCACTTGGTGACACTACAAGAGGTGGTGCACTTGAGGTGGAATCCTAAAGCACAGGGTTAGAACCAAAAAATGGCATATCTTCGCAAAATGTGACATCCATAGAATGATTTAAGATGCATTTAAGAGACTTGTTATCTAACTTGGTCCGAGTAGGACTACGATCCTGAACAAAACAAGTACAACCAAACACACGAGGCACAAGAGGAAAAAACACGGTATCTGGATAAAGTAATTGAAAAGGGGCTAACCCGTGAAGAATCCGAGTAGGTATTCGATTAATGAGGTAAACAGTAGTAAGCACAACCATAAGCCAGTAGGATTTAGGGGCATTCAACCCACAAAGAAGACACCGGAAAACAGACATAATATGATGGTTTTTACATTCAGCAATCCCATTTTGTTCAGGGGTGTAAGTACAAGTGAGTTGCTGCAAAATTCCCTGCTGATTGAGTTAGAAGCGAAATACATCAGAGATGTACTCCCCCCCATTATCATAACGAATATTGCGTACAACGGTGTGGAATTGGGTTTTGACCATTTGTAGAAATTGAATAAAAAGTGGAAGCACATTAGATTTCTTTTTAAGCAAATAAACCCAAGTACACCTAGAATGGTCATCCATGAAAGTCACATAATAGTGATACCCAGAAAAAGCCGAAAGAGAAGAAGGACCCCATATATCAGAATGAATAAGGTCAAACATGCAGGAGGCGCGATACATGCGAGGAATATAAGAAGTACGAGTATGTTTAGACAGTTCACAAACAACACAATGAAACTGATGATCCTTGCAAGCTTTATTAAGTGACAGAAAAAGTAAACATAAATAATTAAAGCTTGCATGTCCAAAACGAGCATGCCACAAGGTTAACGTTTGAAAAGAAAACACATAAGAAAATGACTCAGGTAACACAGTTGCCTAAACTGCAAGTCTTGAGCTTATCCAATTGTTATCTTTCAGGTCTTATTGATTCTTCTCTTCAGAAACTTCAATTTCTTTCTGACATTCGTCTTGGTCAGAACAATCTCTCCACCAAAGTTCCGAAGTTCTTTGCACATTTGCCGAATTTGAGATCCTTGCATCTTTGTTCTTCCAACTTGCATGGAAAATTTCCAGAAAAGATATTCCAAGTATCAACATTGGAGGCTCTAGACTTGTTGTACAATAGATTACTTCAGGGGTTTTTGCCACAGTTTCCCCCAAATGGATCCCTTCACACCCTGGTGCTTAGCAACACAAATTTTTCTGGGACATTACCAGATTCTATTGGTAACCCAAAGATGCTGTCTAGAATAGAGCTTCCAGGCTACAATTTCAAAGGACTAATTTCGAATACCATGGAAAACCTTACACAACTTGTTTATTTGGACTTGTCATCTAACCTTTTTACAGGTACAATCCCATCCTTTCAGATGTCCAAGAATATCACATGCATAGACCTATCTTATAATTCTCTAACAGGTCATGTTACTTCCGCTCACTTTCAAGGCCTTTCAAATCTTCTAAATATTGATTTAGCGCACAATTCATTCAATGGGAGAATACATTTGTCTTTTTTTTCACTACCATTGCTGCAAAAAAATTCAGATTTCCAATAACCAATTTGATGGTCCAGTTATTGGATTTTCTAACGAATCCTTGCCTTCATTGGATACACTGGATTTGAGTAGAAACAAATTACAAGGGTCAATTCCTTCATCTTTCTTTGAACTTTGAAGTCTAAATGTCCTCTCACTTTCTTTCAACAACTTCAGTGGCACCATATAGCTAGAAATGATCCAGAGGCTCCAAAATCTCACAAGACTTGAGCTTTCATACAATAGCTTCTCAATTAATGCAAGTGACAGTGAGTCTAGCTTGTCTTCTTTTCCCCAGCTTGGCATATTAAAAATGGCTTCTTGCAAGTTGTGAAGATTTCTTGAGCTACAAAACCAACCAAGAATGACTAGTTTGGACCTCTCAGCCAACCAAATTTCAAGGAGAATACCAAACTGGATTTGGAAAATTGGATCTCTGATGCAGTTGAATCTCTCTCATAATCTTCTAGTAGATTTGGAAAAACCATATAAATTTCCTAGTCTTTCTGTCCTTGACCTGTATTCTAACAAACTTCATGGAGAAATTCCAATACCACCAGAGTCTGTTACCTATGTGGATTACTCGAGCAATAATTTCAACTTTTCTATACCTGTTAAAATTGGCAACAAGCTCACCTTTGCTTATTTCTTCTCTCTTTCAAGTAATTGTCTCATAGGAACCATCCCCGAGTCAATATGCAACATAAGGTTCCTCAATGTTCTTGATTTATCCAATAATAATTTTAGTGGCACAATACCTCTATGCTTGATTGAAAATAGTACTAAGACTCTTGGGGTGCTGAATTTGAGAAATAACAATCTTGGTGGTAAGATCTTGGGGACATTTCTGAAAAGTTATGCTTTGGAGACACTAGACATCAGTAGGAATCACTTAGAAGGGCAGGTTCCCAAATCTCTTGCCAATTACCGAGTGTTAGAGGTTTTAAATGTTGGTAACAAGGAGATAAATGATAGTTTCTCGTGCTTCTTGGGGAACTTATCTAGCTTGCGTGTATTAGTTTTCAGATCCAACAAGTTCCACGGAGGCATTCGCATTTGTCGACTAGGCCATTATATGTGGCTAAAGCTTCAAATCATTGACCTAGCTTCGAATAACTTCAGTGGTGATCTACCAGATAAAGTCTTCACACATTGGAAAGCAATGACGGTTGCTGGTCATAACGCAAAATCAAATTTCAATCAGCTATGGTTTAAGTTCCTAAAACATAATGGCTTCTACTATCAAGATACAGTGACACTCAACAATAAAGGGATGGAAATGGAGCTAGTGAAAATTTTGACAATTTTTACCTCTATTGATATCTCGAACAACAATTTCCAAGGGGTGATACCAAATACAGTAGGGTTTCTCAAATCTCTCTATGTTCTTAATACGTCGCACAATGCCCTCACAGGTTCAATTCCATCATCAATTGGGAACTTGACACAACTTGGATCATTAGACCTCTCACATAACAAGCTAAGTGGGAGCATCCCAGTGCAACTTGCAAGCCTTACATTTCTTGCATTCCTGAACTTATCATATAATCAATTAGTTAGAATGATCCCAAAAGGCTCTCAAATTCAAACTTTTTCAGACACTTCTTTTCAAGGAAACAAAGGATTATGTAGGTATTCTTTGAACATCAGTTGCAACAATGTCTCATCTGTACCATCACCAGCACCGAGCTCTAACAAGTCAAGCTCTTTTGTGGTGAAAAATTTCAATTGGTGATTCATATTTACAGGGTTGGGGTTCGAGATAGGAGCAGGAGTCATTATTGGGCCTCTAATGTTCTGGAAACAAGGGAGCAAATGGTGCAACAAACACATTGAGAGGTTTGCTCAAATGATTCTTCCAAGTTTGGGTTTCATTTTTGCTTGGTGTGATTATGTGAAGGTTGAGCCAAATGGTAACATTGAAGAAGAAACCCAAGATGACAAAGAAGACCTGATGAAGATGAAGACGCGAGAGAAGATAAAGCATTTTTCAGGCAATATTGTGTGTTTTGTTCCAAACTTGATATCCATGTGAAGAAAGGCATACACAACCCGAAATGCAGTTGTCATCATGACTCACCATCCATTTCTTCCTTGTCACTCTCTCCTTCTCCTTCATAGTTACAATCATCAAATTTTGAATTGTGGGTTTTTTTGTTTTTTGTTTTTTCTTTCTTTGCCCTGTACATTTTCTTTGTCGCAAAAAGCAGGAAAATAAAAAATTTTTGTTCTGTATCTCTGGCTCATTGAGGAATTTTATCAAACAAGTAGAACTCATTGAATTACCCAATCTTGATCTTCACAACGAACTACCCAATCAACCAAAATATGAAGTGATGAACTAAACAAAGCAGATTGATCGCAAAATTTTATAAATTACCATAATGAATATTTCATCAAATGTGTATCGCGATAAACCAAGAATCAAAATTATAGTCTTAATATAATAGCATCATAACATGTTAAGATATTTAGCGTAAGAGTTGAGAATTCAAGTACCGTGTGTAAGGCACAACGAAGTAGATAATGAGACTAACGACAATTCGACCGTTGGAAAAAGAAATTTTCAAAGCGCACGCAAAAGCATATCCTGGAAGACAATAGTCACGGACATGTTCGTTCCTTCCGGAGGAGAATCCAAAATAAAATGAAAATGCATACAAATTAACAAATTTTATTAACGTTTTAATGGTGAAATATAATATGTAAGGAGTTTTTAAATTACTTTGGGCCGTTGGGATGACACAGGTTTCATTTTGGTGATGTATTCTATTCAATTTATAACACATCATTTACATAATTCATATTGATTCAAAAATTATAATCGAGTGTTTGGTAGACATTATTTTAAGTTGAAAGTTGATAGATAGAACGTAAAAGTTAAAAGTATTCATTCTTTAGTTTTTGAAAAATTAATTTTTTTTAATTTATTTAAATTATTTTTGCTTAATAAGTTATAAGCAGAAATTATACCAAACAGTTTAATATAAACTCTTAAATTAAAATAAGTTATAAGCTATTTGTATAATTTCCAAACACCCCAAATACACTTTTATCAAATTTGTCAAAATTTAAAAAAATTGAAGAAAAAAAAAAGGTATTCTAGTTTTTTTGTAATTATGACTATTGGATTAGTTTGATTTTTGTAAATGATATATACACAAAAGGTTACAAAAATGAATAGAATATATGAAAATGTTTGAGATCTCAAAAAATTTCTATAATTATAATCATAATGATGTGGCATAATATGTGTCAATTTTTAGTTTATCACATACTCAATGATATGGGGTCTAACTCCTTGTCATATCATTGTTGGTTTAACATTACTCTAATTGCTTTCTTAAAATAAGATGATACAAGAAAATATTATTTTTATATAATTTGAATGTAAAAAATTTCAGATATGATGATATTTTTTTGTATTGTATCATATGTTTGGATTGACCTGTAATGAAGATTGATTGATAAAATTCAATCATATGTTTGGGTTGACCAAGGGATCGCATACGTGCTGATGTTGGTGACATTGGTGCTCTCATACCTCATCTACACCTTGGATGTCCCCTTTAACTTTTAAGTTGGTGGTTTGCCTGGGACAAGAAATGAGTCTTTGTGTGTAATGTTTTGACTTGAAAATTGTTTGATTTTGTGGCTATTGCTAATTTTATACTCTGTTTGATTGTCACTTTGATTCACCTTTTGATCATAACTTTTTTCCCTTACAATTGTATTAGTATATTGGCTTTTCTATTTATTCAGACATAATCTATAAGGTACATATGCAACCTAGTATTTGTGTTCTTTGTCACATGGTGGGAATATTTGTGTAATGTGGATAGAATCACAACTTCATTCTTCGGCACATGGTGGGAATATTTGTGTAATTTGAATTGAATCACAACATCAATTGAGGAATGGATTAAAGGGTAAACAACAAAAATTCAATATGTTGAACCCATTGAGATTGTATTTTTAATCTTTGATTTGTAAAAGGAAAAAAAAAAATTGATTTGAGAAAATTATAATTCAGTGGGATCTTCTCAAAATAATTACAAATTAATGGAATACTTTATCAACTTTAATAATTAAAGTTATAATTTTTTTTATAAAAACAGTCTATTGATTTGCAATTTCTCCTTTAAAATTCGAACAGAACATAAGTTTTGGTCTCCCAACAACATGGGACCCAATTAGGCCATAGTTCACAATCTAATTTTAGTAGTTCATTCCAATACTAATGAAACATTCAATCAGTGGAACATTGTCAAATCTGAATCTCTAAATTATTTAAGGATCTTTAAGTTGAGTTACAACATAAACAATTTGAAAAGTATAATCTCCAGAAAAGTCAGCCTATCCAAAATAAAAGAAATGAAGGAACCAAGTTTCTCATCATAAACCATCCTTCTTGCTCATTGACTCAACTTTCCCTTGGTTCTGTTCTGTCAAGAGTGAATTTCTTCACTTTCTATAAAGATAAAACAAAAGGAATTAGCAAAACCAAGCAGAGAACAACAGTCTTATACATACACATATATTCACAAAACATGTGAACAAATAAAAAGATCGAACAGAAACCTTGTAATCAATATGCATCATGGCAAGGACATCACTTTATAGCATTTAAGGCCAAAGAAAAGAATATTGTCTTAGTCGGTATCACGACCCAAACCAACCCCTATAGGTTTAACGTCGTAACCGGCCAGTAATCCAAGATTACCAAAGGCCTGCTTTACAGTAATACAGTAAAAAGGGCTGGCGGAAGCCAATAAATAAAGCAATATATCGTCTAATGAGCTGTGCGGACTTACATGAATAAACAAACTTTATATAATTTATATGATATTCACAGATATTCCCATAAGTCCATGTCACCTCTATATACAAAATAAAACACAAGTTATGGAATTAAATCTCATTACTAAAACAGTAATAACAAAAGTCATAGAACATTCATGTCACTTATACACAAGTTCACAAGGGTGAACTTAGAACTACCCAAAAAGCCATAACACTTGCCGGTTCAAAACCTCATGGTAAGGCACGATAGTTAGCTTGACAAAATAGGGTTCGGGTCAACGCCACTATGTCCGTTTCGGTGCTTGCTCACCTACATACATATATTAAACAGTGAGC